TCCCTACACTTACAGAATCCCAAAGGATCAGTCTGCTTAGCTTACTTGCTGGTTGCTCCTGTCTTGAAAATGTTAGATTGAGTTAAGTTTGAAAAAGCAATATTTATATTTTTTCATGAATTCTGTGCTGGGTATGAATTACTGACAGGTCCACTCCATCTGCTGCAATCCTCTTCCTCAAATATGCTGCTAAACTGAGCAGCCGGGAATCATATTTTCCTTGGAACATTAGTGTGGGGCTGTCATAATTTACAAGTTATATCAGTCAATGAAAACAAACAATAAACCCAGGAAAACATGTTAGAGCCAATTTTAGGACACTGTGCAGCTGTTGTGCAAAAAAGTGGTTGCAACCCTGGTGAGGGCTGTGGTATGAGTCTTCAGATAGCTTAGAAACATTGAAATTAATGAGTCCTTAAAATGTGACTAATTGATTTTCCTGATGCACAGGGCTTGATCTGAATAAAACTCAGAGCTAGCAGCTTGTGAACGCTCATGTCTTGCTCTATACCTGTCTCTGGTTAATGAAATGGAAACATTCTATTTTTTAAAAAAATTAAGGTATAAGTAACTCATTTTGGGGGGTTCTAATTCAACATTAATTCGACCATGCCATTTATGACCCCAAAGAGTCATAAATGAAACTACAAGAGAAACTACTTCAGTAGTTCCTATGTCTTCTAATTCTTTTTTCCCATACAAATTAACATCAAACTTTTCACAGTATTTGAACACAGAATTTAATATTTTTTGATTTATCTTTAGATTAAAATATGCTTATGTTCATTTCATATTTATTTCTGAGTGAAATGTAAATTGTTATATTTTGCTTATGTTCCAAGAAATGTGTATTTTTAAAATAATCTTCTTTTTGAATAATTTCCTCAATAAACACAGCTTAAAGTTTTGCCTTTTATTAGTATATAATGAGTATAGTGTTTTAATTGTTAGGATTTTCAGCCATTTTAGTACAGATAGCAGCAGTGTGCATCTTGCCAGTATTCAAGGATCGCCTTTAAATCTTTGGGCATGGTTGCAGCTGGCATCAAAGAAGTCTGAAATATGTTTCAGTATATTCAAACAATTTTTCTAATGTTGCTTTCTTTAGAACTAAAGTAGAAATGAATGTAAATGTCATTGTCTTTTTATATTCAATTATTAGCACTTCATTAGAATTTTATCTTTATTTGCTTTATCAAATGTCATATTAATTGCATTTTATATCCCTGCTCTGCAAATCTATCACAGTTTCTTTGATTAATTTTTGTAGTCAATTAAGCTAGTACAGGTTCATTGAATAAAGCAAAAAATCATACTGTGATTTTTTTTTTTTAGTAGTTTATCTTTACTGACAGTTTTTATTATAAAATATAAACAGAATTCTTAGCTGATGTATGATAACTGATTTCAGGGCTGAAAATATAGCCCTGTATATTTTTCAGGACTTTTTTTTTTTATTGGTATGTACTGGTAGCTTTATAGAAGTTCAGTGTTCTTGGTATCCACTTTAGAAAATTGAAGTGATATGAATAAAATACACAGAGCCTTTGAACACTGCTATACTCTCACTGTAATTTTCTGTGTCCCCTCCTACATATAAAAATTGATATGCTATGGTAGGAATGTGGGATTTCCCCTATTGCTGTAAATGCTTTTTCAAAAGTGAAATCTTTGTGAAGTGTGAACATTACTGATACCATGCCAAAACAGGAGGGAGAAATGCAGGAGGGTTCATTGTGGATTGGTTAGTGCATGAATCCTTTCACTCAGTGCTGACTCTTCCTGAGGCCTGTTGCTGCATGAACTTGTTTGAGCCAGTATAATAATTCCATATGTTTCAACCTCATGCTCAAGGGTGTGACTAATAGCACAACTGAACTCAACGGGGCTTCTCACCAGGTGACATCAGTGAAGGCAGCAGCTTCTTGCTCCAAGTCTGGCATTCAGATTTCCAAGTTTGTGCCTGTCCCAGTCTGCTTTAGTGTCATCTCTTTGCTCCACAGGCTTTCTCTGGAACTTTTGTGTTTTTATTCTTAACTGTCTCTTGAGCTTCCTGTGTCCTGGTCAGTTAACCCTTTAAATGCTCACATATTGTCTCTAGATTAAACCTTTATCTTCTATAATCAAGAAGAGACCATCAAACACATGTAAAATGCTAAGTAGCCAAACCTATTGCAGTGCAGATGGGGAATGCTGCATACAAGGGAGTTTAGAAAGCCATTTGTTATGTATCATCCCTAAGCAATAGCAGACATGTTGTCCAATGACATTTATAGACTCCTTCAGGCCTACAGCAGTGCTTAACTACAGAGTTGTGATTGAGATTAAGTGGAAATGCTTCCCCTCCATCTACACCCAGATCATCTGTGTAGATCAATTAAGCTCTAACATGCCGATGTCCTTGTCTGTGCTGTTGCAATAATTAGTGATGCTATAAATACAGAAACTTTACCTTCTGAGGGTCTACTGCCTTTGATTTTTACATTTTTCTTTCACTAAACTACATGCTGTTACTCCCCAAGTGTCAGTCTTTAATAAGCAATCTTCCACTTGTTGAGGTTTTCAATAAAACTGACTTTGTAGCACGCTGGTGCTTGCCAGGGCTCTCATGAATCCATAACGATGAAGTTTGCAGCCTACAGGTCTCTGGCATTTGCTGATTCTTCTGTAACTTCTTATTGCCATTTAAACTGTTTTAGTTTCATGTGCTGTAGCTTTTTGCATGTCACCATAAACGTCACACGATCGAAATGGAGAAAAGGCCTAGAGGCATCAAAGGTCTCAAGTATTTGTGAATGTGTTTGAAATCAGTGTGGTTTGAGTTCCACACCGTATTGATTTAGATGACTGATGAGTATCACATCAGTCTGTCAAGTCTGAAACGTTGTACATCTTTTGCCTAGTGGATACCATCCTTCTGGTTTCAGTGTGATCTTTCTCTTTCCTAAACAGAGCCATCACACTGGAGAATCAGCTGGTCATCCTTGCAACTTCAGTGACTGATGCAGGAGGCTACTATGTCCAGGCTGTCAATGAAAAGAATGGGGAGAACAAGACAAGTCCATTTATTCACCTCAGCGTAGCAAGTGAGTATCCAAATTCTATATAATGCACTGTCATACTGAGGTTGTTCACAGCATTCACAAAAGTATGCCTTAATAAAAAGAGCTTTGCTCACAGAGGATTGGATCTTTAAAGGATGTCAACTTTTCCTGGTTGTTTTCGAGCACGTTGAACTCATTGTGCAGTAAGAGGGGCCTAAGAGAGCATATGCACTCAACAAATCACCCCCAGTGCCTTTTGTCTGATAGTTTATTTTGTTGCAAGGCAGGTACATGATGATATCCCTCACTGTTTGTTATGAAGTTGTGATCATAATTTCTTTTTAATGCAAGGCTTTATAATGTATTGTTTTCCATTGTGCGTAAGTAAACAAGTCACTCTTCTGAGTGCAATTTTATTAATGAGACTATTCCCAGTCTATTGCATTATTTTTACCTAGAGTTATCACAGAGTCCCAGGGAACATGCATTTCATTGTTATTACTTATTATTTTACATTACACAAATTGTATTAACACCTACCATTACAGAGGTATTCCATGAGTAGATTTTACAACAGAGGGGAGGGGTGGAAGCAGCAGAGCAAGGGGGTCAGAAGGATGACTTCACACTAAATATACTAGTGTGCACACTCAGCAAAAATAAGCAGGTGTAAACTGTTGTAAAGCATTTAGTAAGTGTGCTTGTATGAAAGATTAATATTCTAAACCTGTAGAATGGTTTGACTCCTTTTCTGAGGGCATTTTGTAAAGGTGTTGTTAGTGTAGCAGTGAGGTAGGGAGTAGGTTAGTCTGTTTGAGTGTGGAGGCTTCTATTTTTGATAGTAGACACAAGGAAGAGATGAATGTGGAAATTGTTGATGACACTGGCAACTTTAATGACACTAGTCGTATGGTTTGGACTCCTAGAAGGTGCAGGACCCTCAGCTCTAGATCAGTCAGCATAAGACATCTGAGATCTCTTGATCTTGAATACCATCAGATCTGAGAGAATCCCTGTAGCTCATTTCCTTACAATAACAAAACTTGGGGGTTTGGATTTCTGGACAGGAAATCTGGCAAACTGTTTTTGGAAATATGCTTATGTTTGTCAGAAGTTCATCAAAAAACGGTATGTTCCTGGGAAATATTTAATTTACACGAAAATATGATTTTTCTGCTAAAAGCCCTGATGGGATTTCAAGGAAAGCTGTTCTTCCACAAACAATGGAAGCCCCGTTAGTGGGATCAGGGCTCCCTGAGAGCAGAAATTGTGTGGAAACAGACAGCAGAAGAGAAAAACCTGTTTACTTCCCAGATATGTTTATAAACTAAAAGAACTTGTCAGGAGTTCTTTGTGTATCTTTCTGAAGGAGAAATAATATTCCAAATTCACTTGTGAATTCTGGCTGTACTGTGGCCTGTAGATTGTAAACATCATTTCTGACAGTCTGAAGAGATTTGCTAACACTTTAGTAATTTCATTTTTAAAGCACATTTATATTGTTTGTACTATGTGACCAACAGTGTACTTCCCACTTTAGTTTCATATCTTAATTAATGCTAGAAATAGCCTGTGATCATGCATGCATAACAAGTGCTATGCAAAGCAGAAGGTAATACAGCCATATGGAAAAGAAAACACTTCAAAATGTGTACAAACTTGATCCTGGGAATGCAAAGTCTGTCTGGAATGGGAAAAATGGGAAAGACTAGATGGACAAAAGAAAATGAAGAATGAGACAACACAGCCAAAAATGGATTTGCTTCTTAAAATGAATAGTAGCCAATGAGGTTTTAAAATTGTTGTCTTGATGTCGAGGATTATTAATGCAATGTGTATATTGAAGAAAGGCACTTGGCCATAAGACATTGCAGTGTCTGTAAAGCAAATGAGACTAACATGGTCATTCTGAACCTTGATCTGAGGAAGAAACATCTGTGATACATTAAATGGAGGTAAATAAACCTTCTTGGTCCAGTAGCACAAAATAATAAGGAAAAAATATGGTCCTGAAGCAATATACAGAGAGAGGTTGCACAAAAATTACAGATTTTGGAGGAGTAATAAAGAATTCCAGCAAGCAATTGGAAACAGATTGTTAAAGGTATTTCCAGGTATGGATCTAATCACATTGAATTGTCACTGTCTGTGTCTTATCAGATGTTAAGAGTGATGACCCTTGTCATTTTCCATTAGGACATGTATAAAATTTAAAAACAGTTTAATCAAAATGAAATAAACCACAGTAAAGTGGAATATCCAATCTCTGTGTGAGTAGATTATATATTAATTATTGAGTACAACCTTGCTACATGACTTGGCATGCATATCGCCACTTTTATTGAGGGCAAGAGGAAAAAAAGCTATAGATAATTCCCAGGGCAGTCATCCACTGAGAACAGTGTTAGATATGCATAGCTTGTTATTCCTTGAAGGATATCAGTGTCAGACTTGCTCCAGCCTGCAGGAAAAGCACATTTGCAGAATCAGTCTTAAGGGCTGAGAAAGCTGGAAGCTGCACAGCTCTGGTCCCAAATACAAGACTTGACAGTAGGAAAAAACTATAGTCCTGAGCTAAATAGAATATGAGTTATAGGGCCTTATATTGCAGTTTAAAATCAATCCCTTGAATTTTGGCTGGAAGTAAATGGTGTTTGAGTGACACCTAGAAAATGTACTAAAAATTCCTTCAGTTAATAACTGTATTTGATACATGTTGAACAAGAAGATTCTGCTGTTCTTGGGTTGGCTTTTCTCTATGTTCTGAGGTTGGCTGGACATTGAAAACTCAGGCATGAGAATGCTTGGGTTTGGTGAAAATGAAAAGATCTTTAGGACATCTTGGTGTTTCCAGATGCATACCCAGAATGGATTGATTTTTAATATTCTTAGCACTAAGATGCACTAGCTGGTAGGTATGGGCACTCTGTGAGAAGATGCACAGCTGAGTCCCTGTCTTGGTTAAACACTGGTGTTCTGCAGCCCTGCCCTCTAAAACCATGTCTTAATCTGAAAGTCCAGGTCACAGCATGAGGTCCAATACAGCTATGCTTGAAAATAATGGTAGTTCCTTTCAAATGGACAAGTTTCCATAGATTTCAAGAGGATTAGATCATCCCTGAGGTGATAGGCTATGGTGAAATAAACATCATGTCCAATAGGCCACATATTTGGAATAGCAGCACATCTGAAATTATATAAGATGTCATAAATTAGTTATAAATTTAAAATATCTGAAAATCAGTTAAACTGTTTAGTAAGCTGATGTAAATCGTGCCTTTTTTTAACCATATGTCCCAGCTTTTATGTAAGTAACACAGAATTTTGGCTAGAGAAGTCTCAAAGTCAGTAGTTTAGCAACACTAACAAAACTCAGTTTGCTTTTAGACTCCAATAAATCACTTACTCTGTGTTGAAAATTCATTATTACTCTTTTGGAGAATTTCAGTATTAATTCCATTGCTGGAACTTCCTAACTTGACCAGAGAAGGTGTGAGAATTGATCTATCCCTGAGCTGTTGCAAGCTTTTTAGATGTAAATACTACTTTTCAATAAAAATAATTGGGAAATCTTTAATGTTCTTTCCCATTTCCATCTAATCAATGATAAATTAGATGGTGATATCTTAAACAGATCCATAACTCTTTAGGCTTCTTCTTTCATGCCCATTCTCCCATAGACAGGTTTACACTGCAGCACAGATGGTCAAATCTCTTCCTAAAGACTCTAGCTTGTCAGGGGGTGAAACTACATGCTTTTAATCTTACCAGTTTTGGCAGGACACTCTAAGATCTAAGTGTTTGTTAAAGTAAGGCCATCCTAAAACTTTTTTCCTTGAAGGCCATACTCTGTGTATCAGCTAAATTTCTCTAAAACTCTGCAACCAGACCTCTTAAGGTGGGAGAATGGAACTTGCACAAGAAAGACAAAGGGTAAAAAAAAATCCTGGTACATGTTACTTTGTTGTAGTCTGTGCCACTTAGGCACAAAGATGTTTTGGGGAGAAGGGAGGAGCAGAGGTGTTAAAGAGTTTCTTAGTGAAACCATAAGGACTTCTGGTATATCAAGACTTTTAGGAGCTGTGTTTTGTGGTGGTGGAAGATACATAGGGAAATTTTTAACACTGTAAGGGGCTGGGTGAGGTGTTCACTGCAATGCATGCAATCCATGTCCTGGTTACTTTATTATGTGACAATATGGCAAGACTCTGCTGCTGCTTTGGAAGAAGTCTGAAGAGCCCTGCTGAGATTTTTCTAATATTAACTACAATGCAACGCTGTAGGTGTGAGTCTTGGAAACTTCTAACAGTCTGCACGGCTATTTCAGACCTTAGCTGAAATATTTGATGAAAAATTTGAGGAAGTGTCCCCCAGTAAGTGATTGAAATGGCAAGTTTGCAAAAGGTGGGTATGCATAAGCTGTTCTGACAGCTTAGACACCGCTGCTTGAATTGGCTTTGCAGCGCTAATCATCTGGAACTGCAATTCAGGACCTTGCTTCTGGACCTTCTTGTTAAGCTGTGAAATATTGAGATGCATGTTGCCTCAATAGATTCATTAGTGAATTAGATAGTCTCAGGACCTATCTGTAACACCAGGAGATACAGTGTTCTGCAGGCTGACATCTTTTTCTGATGCAGACTTTGTAAAAACAGAAAACAAGATTGATGAAAATTTTAAAAACCTTCCCAGGCAGCATTTCTGAAGAGTCAAAGATAATAAAGCCAATTATCATTTAACAAAGATAAATTTTTCCCTGGAGCACAGGCAATGCTTAAGAAGGAGGAAAGGGGAAAAAAAAAATAAAATTTGGGCCTGAAAAATCAAATTCCAGGCTGAGTTGCATTACAATTAATTTAAAATACAAGGGTGTTCTTCCACTTGCAGCGTGCAGAATTTCATTCCATTAGGGCCAATGTTAACATGGGACTAAGCAGACCCTGTTTAGCTGTGGTTGGCACCTATTTTGTTCTTCAGTTTTAATGTGTCAAAACATAAATTTCACAGGAGGGAGGAGTCCCATTTCAGACTGCAGGATACTG